ACACCCCAAAACAGACTATATCCAGCCCGCTCATGCACTGAATAATTTTAACTACAAACAGCTAAAGCTGATAAAGTAAAAAAAAAATATATTGATTAAAAGATTTTGTTTTGCCATTCAAATTTTATTACGAAAATTTAATAAGGGTCGTCAAAAAGAAATTGCGGTGAATGCAGGCGTGAATGTCAGGCGTTGAAAAAAAATGTATATAACACGTATAGGGTCGGAAATGTTTTCTTCACTGCTTTACAAACTTCTGGGAAAAATTAGACATAATATGTCAAATGTGGTACCAGCTGTCTGCGATGTTCTCAGTGGTAAATCGCTTACGGTAGCTACCAACATTGCGAATCGGATTTAAATACTTACTTGGCTTACTTGGAATGTATAAACTTCGAGTTCTAGAAAAAAGCATAAACCAAAAAAAGACAGCAACTCGGCTTTTTTGGTGTTAACACAATAGATAAAATCTACTCACGAATTCTTAAGCTCCATAAGACACTTTTCCCGACTTATCAGTGTTGGGAATATAGTCTTTTAGCTTAAATTGGTACCCAGCATTAGACCACTATTTCTACCCAAGTACAACAGAGTTCGATTAATAGAATGGAGTTTTTATGCCTGACAAAATGTTATTTATGAACATTGGTCTTGCTGCTTACACTCTTGCACCTTTGAAACGCTTGCATCTTAAGTTAATTCCCCTCGATACGTTTTTGTGTTCTAGATGCGGTTCAGTAGCCGTCAGATATGGGCGCATGTGCGGCAGCAACGCAGTGGCATCCTCAACATCATCTGGAGTTGGTGGAAGTCGACAGAGAGGCAGCAATAACGATTGCCTCGGGCAGAGATTGTTAGCCCGATTATCAGCGAGCACTCCACTCCACTTGTGCTGTCTATCCAGACTCTTGCTGTCAGCATCTCCATTTGTCTGCAACTGGAATGGACTGCGCCTTAGCTGTGTCTCCCCATGGGGATCGAAGTATTGAAGTGTAGCATTGTCGATACAAGTGCATTTCACTTCTACTTCAACGCGACAGATGGAGATGGCTGCTGATGCTGCCTGTTGCTGTTTAACCAGCATTTAACGTAAGCGGATTTATGTGAGAGCCCCAACTGATTGCCACTGGGTCTTCGTGTGGTGGTTTCTTCGTGCCTTGTTCTGTGGCTTGCATCTCATTAGCACTGGGGTTCCACGGATGCGATGACCCAGCTGCTCTGGTCCGCCTCAGAACTTTGCCGTTTCCAAGCCCCCGATGCTGCGTCAGTGTGCGGGCTTTGTGGAGTTTAGACCTAACGGAACAGCCAACGATGGTAATTGATTCGTCACTCGGGGTGCTCTCGTTCGTGGGTGCAGTGCCGGTCGAAACGCAATCTATCAACCAAACGAAATCAAACCGAATCAATAATGCATTTTAAATGAACAGCGATTCCACTTGATGCCTCTTTGGCTAGAAATCCAATTACCAATCGCCCATCCGAATGTTGCAGCCGCGGGCGTCGAGGGCAACGGTCTGGCCAACATGTTATTATTGACAAATGGAAATGTCAAAATGAAATATTAACTGAAAATCAACAGCTACAGCAGCGCCGGTTGAGGAGCCGCACAAACAAATGGCGGCAAACAGCGAGCGACAATTGAAAATGTCAAAATTCATGAGCCCCACAGAAGTGTCGAGCGGTAACAGGCCATTCGACAAAATAACACTACAAAAAATGAGCAATTTTTTTTTTAATATTTAAGAACTGGGTACGAATCCAATTTAAAGTGATAGCTTTACCTTTTAAATTAGAAAAATTGTCCTACAAAATTGTTAATTTAGTTAAAGCTACTAATATTATGAAACAACATTATTTATTAAATAAAGTTGTAATATATATTCAAATAAATAATTAAATAATTATTAAATTAATTAATAACTAATTAAATAATTAAATTATTTACTAAATAAAGTTTGAATTAAAAAAACAAATTCAATAAAAATTATTAAACACAGTTGTTGTTGAAACTAATTTTGCTATTTTTCGATGGTGACTTCTGTGTCTTTCAACCGTTACTGGAGTGTATATATCACAGATAGCAGGATGAATTTCCTGCCCTTGATATGGAATAAGCCGAGTCGATCTAGCCATGTCTATATGTCTGTCTGGTAAAAGCCAAGATTCCAGATTTAACATGTAGATTCTAGCTATCCATACGCAGTGCAAGGTTGTTTCAAAATGTACCAACGTCTACAAATCACTCTGTCATCCTGAGACATGGTTAATGTCTATCGACTCACACAATATTTTCCTACAACATTTAGAATTCAGTTAAAGAATTATTAATTAATTTTCATGTAACTTTGAGACGTCGTTATAGGGCGAAGCTACGAGAAGGTAAACAAGGAAATTAAGTGTCAAATTATTAATATAAATGAATTGCTATGATATTGACGATGATTATGGATCAGCTACAACCTTTTTTCTTAGTGGACCCTGGGTGACTGGCATTGGGTGTAATAGAGCTGAACCCTCCTCCAGGACAGCATGTCACACGAGACGCGGTGGCAACATAGTCAGTAAAGGCGCACCATCGGGGGCACAACAGCAACAACCACTTTGGTGGCGTTGCTGTCATCAATGGAAAACGATTGCCGACACTCGAACAACGCGATATTTGAATGCGAGTGCCGTCGGTTCGGTTTTCGCCACTCTTCGCGTTGGTGTTTTTGCAATGACCACTTGATAAATGATAAATTAATTGAGTATTGCCAAATGGCATAGTTTTTTCTAGAATGCCCTAAGTCGATGCACACCGCTCGGTGGGGATTGTATAAAGAGCCGAAAAAAAACTGTTTTAGAAATGAATAAAATGAAATATTTAAAAATTATTAATTAATGGTAAAATTAAAGTCACAAAATTAGCTATAGGTAAATGTTATTATGGAAAATAATCAAAAGACATTGTAACCCCACACAAATCGGTGCTCGAATGGAATTAGAAACGTATTAGGAAAGGGCGGATTTCATCGAAATGTGCATAAAAGTGTTAAAGAAGGAAAACAAATTTCTCAAGTTATAGAGCATTTTAAATTCGATCTCTTGTTTTTGACTCGCTGCCAAGCAGATAAGTCAGTGGAAATCGCTGCAAAACTTAAAATTTCGCAACTGGCGGCATGTCAGATGGTCGTGGGTCGCAAGGACGTTGGTTAGACGCCCAAATCGTATACAATCTAAATTTGGTTGGGGAATTGCTGGCTGCCACAGAGCAACATGTTTCTCTTTCTATAATTTTCTGAGTGTCACCGGTGTAATTAGTGAACTTGCAAATACGTTTAGCACATTAGTGGAGCTCGTGAGTTGGCCACGATTTGAGTTGCAAGCATATTTTAATTAGCTGATAAATGGGTAGAGCGAGGAAACTGAAAGTATATGAAAGTGTTTGTGTCAGAGCCATGGATAATGAGAAATTTCTATGCAAAGTGATGTAGAAATTTCACTGGCGACTTAGACCACAGTGATAAATCAAATGGTCAGATCCGGAGCCGGAGTGAAGTCAAAAAAACGTTCATACACAAATATTTGCATAACACTTGATGTTTTCGGTAAATGCCAAAGCAACAGAAGCCGAAGCACAAGCGGCTACATGGACGCTCTTCAAATTGTTAGATCCACACAACCAGGCATTCATACTCACACTTCATTTGACCAAATATTGCACATCCAAGCTGCCAGAGCAACACTAGAAGCAAGCAACCATTTAGTAGGTTGCTTATTTTCACTGGCAAAATAAAATCAACAGAAATGGTAAATTGTTTAATTGAATTCACCGCAGATGCGCTTAAGTTGCTAGTAATTTAGCAAAGCCATCCGTTCGTGTCCCCATCCATAGCTCTTGCTACATCAGTGTCTGTAACGTTGTGCATCTGAATCTCTGTCTGTATTTATGTCTATGTGTATCTGTAAATGTATCTGTATCTGTATCTGTATCTGTTTCTCTATCTTTATCTATACCTATATCCGTAGGAGACGTGCCGGACTCTCCGACATATGGGCTTGATTGTCGTCACAGTGCAAATAGGGCAGCAACAATGATAGCAACAGCAACCACAAGAGCAACAGCAACAACAGCAACGACAAGAGCAACAAAGACATCAGCCACCAGGATAAGCATGGCACAGTTGCGGTGCCATGAAAATGAAATGTGAGTGCCAGTCGTTGTGGGCATTTCTAAGAGCGACTGTGTGCGTTCTTCCTGTAACTATGCATTAAATTGAAAACGGCAAAGAAAGTGCTCCGCAGACGGCAGTTGCCCGGTCGCTTGGATTGCAGTTGTTACTGGGTTCTAGATTTCTCCCAGGCCCAATTATGCTGCTGTGCTGCTATCGAGTGTGTTTCGATTCGCAATTGGCCCGGCCAGCAATATGGATGGGGATGTGGATGTGGATGTGGATGTGGATGTGGATGTGGATGTGGATGTGGCCAGGCATTGCTCAATGACCGACCGATAATGCTGTTGATATTTAAGATGCCTGCGAGGGACACAGCCCGGTGGTTCGGATGTCAAAGGTCGGCGCCGATCGCTTGGCCGGAGTTGCACAAGCTTTCTGGCCTTTGTAATCTTAATTAATTTGCGTGGGCCCGTGGATTTAGTGGCGTCATAAGTCAGCAGTGGTTCACCGAGGGCCTGAACCCACTTCCACCTGGCTGCTTCTGGTTGGCACTGATCGGCAAGTCGAGAAGACTGCAACGCCGCACTCATCTGCCGCAGTTCGTGGCCCGGTCGCAATGCTCTTGGCTAAGAGCGGGAAACTTGGGCGCATGCGCAGCCGGCAAAGGTAAACTCGCTCGCGATCTCTCTTTCGGGCTCTCTCTGCTCTCCGCTCTGCCTCGTCATCTTGACCATTTGGGGCCGTGTGTGTGTGCTGGCTCTGCGGCGTGGAGCGTCTACTTTTCTTTCGGGCCAACTTCTTGGACTTTCTTGGCAACATGTTTAAAAGTCTTTTGGAAGCGCCAGCCCCACGTTCAGTTCACTGCGAGCGCTTACAGCGTCTGGTGCGTTGCGACAGAAGAACGAGTGCCGAGCAAACCGAAAAAACCACCAACCAGTCCACCGAATCAACAGACCGAACGAACACAACCAGCCAAAGGATATAATCCTAGCGAACAGAGCGAACTCCTATATCCATGCAGTGCAAAAGTTGTGCGTGCAATGAGCCGTGATTCGAATGTGGCACGATTTTAATTAAATCGCCAGTTATTGAAAGAGTTAAAACAAAATACAAAGTACATCACGGTTGAATTGAATTCCGCTGAGCGGGAACCCACACACACGTCGTGCTGCACGGTTCAGCTTCTGAATCAGGATCGTGTCCGTATCCGTGTTCGTTTTCGTGTTCGTAATCGTATTCATATTCATATTCGTATTCGTATTCATATTCATATTCAGTGCGCGCTAAATTCCTGTCGGCTGCTCCCGCTGCACCGACTGCACTGACTGCTGTCCTTGTCGTATTGTTTATGGATTTGTTGGTTTTTGGTTCCGCGAGCTCCCCCCTAACACGTAGCAGTGGCGTCAACAGGTAAGCCTTGCATTCAGCCGGGATTAACTTTGCTTAAACTGTTGAAACAACTGCGGCGTCAGCCGACATCGGGACTGGGTGGGCAGCTCGGGAGGCACCGCCCAAAGCTCCTGCTTTTGCACCCGCACCCGCATCCACATCCACATCGACAGCCAAGTGGCGACAAAGCGGATTGCCACGAAAATATTTACAAGTTTTAAATTGTTTATCCCGGCGAGGGTGTCCGGTGTGTGAGTGTTATTCCGCATATTAATATTTATGGCACTGGCCACCGTAGTTGGCTAAATGGATGGAATTGGATCGGATTGGATCGGGGGCTGCGGAGAGGGGTCCCGGAAAGAGTGAAATTAAAACTTGTCTTTAATTAAGGAGTAGGACGGGCTATCAACGGCAGCCAAACCCAACCAAAGTGGTGGGCATTTAGAACGGGCGCATAAAAGAGTCAACGGCAGCAGCAGCATCGCCACACCACTAAGTGCAGAAGAAACAAGTACCACACACATGATGCACACACACACACATACAAACACACACACACACTCACGGGGGATTGGCAGCCACACACGTGTAGCTGGAAACAAGTTGAAATGCCTCAGCTACAGTTGGCCAGGCTTACATGAGGCAATGTACTTGGCCAAGAGCCGAGAACTTTTTCCCCAGTACCCGGAATTCGAGCTCACAGATGGGGGACGGACGGACGGACGGACAAGGGGGGACGGTGCGGTACAGGCCGATGTGATTTTAATGAACTACTAAAAACTCGGAATGCCAAACCCAAAACAAACATAAACCAACTTGACGCTGGCCTACGATTGCATTATGGCCACCACATGCAGCAGCAACATCAGCAACATCAGCAACAGTTGAGAGCGCAGCAAAGCAGGGCGAACAATGCCGCAATCTGTATAATATTTATGCAAGCATTAGCAGATTCCCATTCCCATCCCCATCTCCAAAGCCATCCCCATCCCCAGACCAAGCCCCCAATTCCCCAATTCCCGAACCCGCAGTCTCCAGCAGCTGTCCGTTGGGCTTGAGCCTGGTTAGTAGAGACTTAAGCTGACAGCCGCCACGCAGCACAGTTTGAGTTACTTTCCACCCAGCTGATGGGCGGAACTGGTGCTGGTGCTGGTGCTGGTGCCACTGGCTGGCCGAGATTAGAGCAGCTACTGCAGTTGCATCTACAGTTGCCGTTGTTCTTATTGCGGTTTCTGTTACTGTTGCGGTTAAATACAGCGTGGGCCCAAATAACTGTCGCACTTTTTCAAAGCTTCGGCACTCTTAAACAAGTGCTTCTATTCTTTTTGTTTTTTCATTTCTTCTTTCTTTATCTTATTTCGTAACTAACGGGGTTTATTGCTGATAAGATCAGTGCAAGTTAGAATTTTGGCGACGATGGAAGCAAAACGGGAGCTAGTGCAAAACTTGCATTTGCAAGGAAAAAAAACAAGTGAAATTGTGAAGTTGCTAAAAAATCTCAATGTGAATAGGCGATTTGTTCAGCGCACTGTGGCTCGATTGAAGGCAACTGGAAGTGTTGATATAGCCAAAAAAACTGGTCGGAAAAGAAGTGTTAGAACCCCTAAAATAATAAAGAATGTGCGTGAAAGAATTAGGCGAAATTGTGCGAGGTCAGCTCGAAAACTAGCCAATGAGCTGAATGTGAGCCGCAAAACAATTAGAAACATCATAAAAGATGACTTGGGACTGAAACCTTACAAAAAAAAAAGAATTCATGGTCTGACAGAACGTCAAAAAAAAATGCGACAGGAAAGAAGTGGGCAGTTACTTCGGCGGCACGCAGGTTGCAATACTGTGTTTTCTGATGAAAAGTTGTTCATATTGCAAAAAAGCCTGAACCCGCAGAATGATCGGGTGTATGCAGCAAGTATGGAGGATATTTCAACAGAAAAAATTGCTGTTGAGAGATTCCAAAACACAACGTCTGTCATGGTTTGGGGGGCCATATCTGAAAAAGGTAAGTTACCCCTTCTTTTTATCGATAAAGGCGTGAAAATCAATGCCAAATATTATTTGGATGAAGTGCTTGTGGGCCATTTTTATCCCCATGCATCAAAGCTGTTCGGGAATAAGCCATTTTGCTTCCAGCAAGACTCTGCTCCGGCTCATAAGGCCAAAACTGTTCAGCACTGGTGCAAAGATAACATTCCATGTTTCATGGCTGTTGATGAGTGGCCTCCATCGTCACCAGATCTAAATCCTTTAGACTTCTGCATATGGGGTTACATGCTGGATAGACTAAAGGATTTAAAAAGATGAATTTGGAAAAGTTTAAGCGACACTTGACAAAAATTTGGAATGAAATTCCTGATGATGTGGTGCGTGCCGCTTGCAATAGTTTTAAGAAACGTTTGAAGCTCGCCCGAAAATACAAAGGGGAAAGATTAGAACTTAAGTCTTAGTAATGTAAGCTATATTAATATATATTAAATAAATAATATTTGTTACTTAAAATATCTCATGGTTTGTTTTTTATTTCAAAAATTAAGTGCGACAGTTATTTGGGCCCACCCTGTAAATAAAGCAGCGTGACTCCACGGCTCAGCCAGAGTCTCAGCCTTTTGATTTTGCTTCTACTTCTGCTTTGGCTCTGGCTTTGGCTTTAGCTTTGGCTTTTTCTCCGGCTCTGGCTTAGTACTCAGCTTGGCAGTCCAGAGATTGCGTTGCAACAACAGCAGAAGAGTTGCCGCTGCTGCTGCAGTGACTGGATCTGAAATTATAGATGGGTCCGCTTTCCAGCCCACTTCCTTTTGGACCTGGCCCAATTAGGGAGCTGCCGCCTGCCTCTGGAAGAACCAGATCCCAAGGCATTCAAGAAGCACCAATGGCCTGCTCGTTGTCAAATCACAATTCGGAGAATGGGCCAAGACCTGGGAGTCGCTGCCGTTGCATAAGCAGCTGATAAACTTGCACATAACAAACTCATGGCAAATGAGCACGCCATCGCCATTAAGAGCTGCTGCATTTTAATTAATCAAGTTAACAAACGGAGGAGTGCAGCAGCTGCGGCAGCAGCCTCATCTGTCAACAACAATGCGCGCCGCAAACTAATTACATGCAACTCGGCGGATAAGGGGTAAGCCCCAGACCCAACCAAACCCAAGACCCAAGACCCAAAGCCCAAAACCCAAATCTCAATTGAGGCGGCCGCACATCGTCATTGTTCAATGTGGGCCCGGCTTTGCATATGTGCGATTACCAAATTAGATTTCAGTCTAATTATGGCAGTTGCACTGCAGTAAGAGCAAAACGAAGCCCGAAGAAATTGCAACTGAAATTAATAGCCAAGGCGGCAGAAGTTTGCGCAACCGACGATAAACAAATGGAAGCAGTAAAAACCGAACTTCGGAGCGGAGTCAAGCCATCGGGACCAGCTCCAGCCCACTCCAGCCCACTTGATGTCGACTTGAGAGGCAGCCAAAGTTCTCCGGCAGCTCGGCAGCTCGGCAACTCGCCTCCGGAGCGGACCGGGCTGTCCTGGCTCTGCTCCGAGGATGCAGCACTTAATAATAATTAAATAATTTTCGCCAATTATAGAGCCAGCACATAGCCATCTAATGGGCTTGGCTTAGACTCTGCATCTGTATTTGTATCTGCATCTGTATATGTATTTGTATCTGTGTCTGTGTCTGTATCTTTGTCTGTATCTGCAGCCAGTGTCTCCATCGCTACCGCTTCCCCAGCCCGAGTGTTTGTGTGTGTGCCGAACTAATAAATAAGATTGCTTTTAATTAAGAAAGAGAAAATTGTTGCCGCCAACGAAGTTGAACAGCAAGAGTTCTTCTGTTTGCCTTGCAGCCCAATGCCCTGAACTAAAGTTTGGCACTCGCTCACAGATTCAAATTCATATGGATTGGGTTTTGTCAAGGAGCCACCTCCAAAAGCAGGACACAAAAGCTGGGGTCCAGTAAGAGGGGTTTCATGAAATTGGTTTTTTCTTCTATATATGTACAAGCTAAAGGTTCAACATCTTTTACGCTTCCTTTTCCCTCATTAACCCTTTCGCACAAGAGAAATGAATTTCCTTGAAGGGAACCCTTAGTATTGAAAAAAAAGTTTAATAGCTTGTGGACTAGCAAACATCCCCTTAGCAGTATGTAAATGAGTTTAAAAATGAATATCAAGGACATTATAAAAACTATAGAAGATTCTACAACTTCTTGACTGTTGGGAATGAGTGTGGTTTTCAATAAGGCACTAATCAAGTAAAAATGCGAAAATCAGAAAAAATTGGGATATGCTCAACTTCCTGTGTGTACTTTGGCAGTCTTTCCCCCTTTGCTGCTCACTTCAAAGTAATAGAGCTGGGACTGAGACCGAATCCGAAACAGGGCCACCCTGCTGTCGGTCGCACGACTTTCGGGTCCAGGCACACACGCTAATTTGAAAGCATTTGAAAGTTTTTGACGTTGGTGGCCGTGCATTTGGGCACTTCTCAGCTCGGCTGCAAACTGCAAACTGCGAGCTGCAGTGGCATCAACGTCATCGCCTGACGCTGACTTGTGGCCCTAGCACACTGGCACACACACTCGGGGCTGTGTGGCACACGTCATGGGAACTTCAAGTGAGCCGGCCAAAGTTGGGAAATCATTTTACTTTGTTCAGGGCAAATTTATTAATAAACATTTTTCGCATTTGCCCCACCAGCGGAACACTGGCAGGCGGTGCGGAATTTTTAATTCAATTTATACATATATTGGACTGGTTCAAGACACAGAAGCAGCCTCAGTTCATCGCGTGCAGTGCCAAGTGTTCTTCTGGCCAGAATGCAGACACGAGCGGTTAGTGGACCCGCCTTTGTTTGCCGGCCAATAATCATTTTATTTGGCTGGTAGTACAACCGGAGTCTCGAATAATTCATGCGCATCTGTGTTAATATTATGCCGCACTCCGGTGTCGGACAGCTGAACCCTTTTTCGGCACTGGAACGGCCGGATGACTTTGAACTTTTGACACATTTGGCAGTCGGCTGTCATAGT